GGTTGTGCCTTTCCTCCTGAGCCACCATTTTCCGGTAACTCACAAAGTGACCAACACAAAAGTGGGGAGGAGAGGCACTTACTGTATATTCTCCAGGCCTTTCAGAAAACAGGGAGCTGTTCCTTTGGCCACATTCACGTGAATCTACAAGAAAGGTGATGTTGTAGACATGAAGGGAAGGGGCACCGTTTAAAAAGGAACGCCCCACCAGTGTCCCCATGGCAAAACAGGAAGAGTCTCCAGTGCACACAGCATGTGGCTGGCATTGTTGTAAACAAACAAGGGCAAGATTCTTGGCAAGAGAATTAAGTTAGGATTACTCCACCAGCAGAGACAGCTTCCTGAAACGTGTGAAAGAAACTGATCAGAAAAAGAAGGACGGAATTTACTTGGGTTCAACTGAAGCGCCAGCCTGCTCCACCCAGAGAGTCCCGCTTTGTGAGAACCAGTGAGAGGAGCCTGCACTGCTGGAACGCACTCCCTGTGAACTCATGGCTTGATAGCTGTAAAAAAGTAAAGACCTCTGGACTGTGGGGGAAAAAGAGAGAGAGAAGGAGAAGAGAGGGAGAGGGAGGGGAAAGGGAGAGGAGCAGAGGGGAAGGGAGGAGGTTGTGCCAGAGCTGGGATTTGAGGAGTGATGGGGTTCTACGAGCAGATGAAGGGAAGTCTTTGCAGCCAGGACAGACTCAGGGGTGAAAATGTGAGCTCCAGAACAAACTACTGAGTGTAAAGTGGGACTGAGACGAGGCTGGATGCAGGAGGCCGTCCTTGCTCTGCTCAGAGCTTATCAATTCAGCAGGGACCATGCAGAGGCTGTGACCAGGAAATAGGCATGATCTGCAAGGAATGAAGAGGAGCTAGCCAAAAAAAGGAAAAATAGAGAAAAAAAAGTAAGACCTTCTCTTATTAAAAGACACCACAAGGAAATTCAAACGAGTTACATACTGGGAATGATTTCTGCAACACATTTAAATGACACAGGACTAATATTCAGAATATATAAAGAACTGTATGAGTTGATAAGAAAATGAAAAAAGAAAAGGGCAAAGGAAACAAACAGGAACAGCACAGAAGAGGAAGCACAATTGCCCCATAAACATATAAAAAGATGTTCAACCTCATTAAAAACAAAGGAATGAAAATATGTCATGCCCCCAAAATTGGCACAAATTTAAAAATAGGAGAACACTAAGTGTTGATGAAGATGTGGGGCAGTGTGCAAGCTCCCATCCACTGCTGACAGGGGTGCAAATCAGTACAACTATTTTAGAAAGCAGTTTGACATTGGGACCCCCTTGAACTTTTGCATATCTCTGAACACCTGCATATCCTTGGCCCAGAAATTTTACTCCCTAGAGCAATATTTCTCAATGAGGACCAGTTTTGTTTTGATTTTTAATTTGTTGCGGGAATAATACTTTTGTAAAATACAGTAAAAATGAATTCCTAAAAATGAAGTGAAAATAGACATACAGTATACAAGCCTGATATTATTAGATTCAGCAGACATAAAGTTACTTATGTATACCAAGGAGACATGTGCGAGAATGTTGCTGGCAAATTGTTTTGTAGTAACTGAAAACAAGAAGTAACTCACATGTCCAGTGACAGGATTAGAGGTTGGAAGAAAAAAATGTGGCGTAATCACATGATGGATTATTATGGACTATGAAAAAGTTATAAAAATAAATGAACTGTAAACATGCAACAGCAACGACAAAGTCTCAAACGTAATTGTAAGAGAAAAAACAAACCTTAGAAGACTCTAACATGATGCCTTTAAAAAAAAAAAAACTATCAAAGTGTAATTTACATTTCCACGTTTTAGCATAATTCACCCATTTTAAGTGTACAATTCAATGATTAATAGATTATTTTGAGATTGCAGTGCATTTCCATCACCTTCAAAAGAATCCTCCTGCCAATTTTCAGTCACTCCTCATTCCCACCCCCTGCCCCAGGCAACCCCTGATCTATATTCTGTCTCTATAGATTTGACTTTTCTGGACATTACATATAAGTGGAATCATACCATATGTAGCCTCTTGTGTCTAGGTTCTTTCACTTAGCATAATGTTTTTGGAGTCCATCACGTTGTAGCATGTATCAGAACTTCATTCCCTTTTATCGCCAACTAATATTCCATTGTGTGGGTCTACCACATTTTGTCTACCCATTCGCCAGGTGATGGACGTCAGGTTGCTTCCACTGTTCAGCTCCTTTGAGTAACACTGCTCTGCACGCAGGTCTTCGCACAGATGTGTTTTCATTTCTCTTAGGTACATACCTAGGTGACGCCGTCTTTATAAAGTTCTAAAACAAGCAAAACTAAACAGTGTGATGTTTAGAGATACATACGAAGTGCTGAAACTCTTCTTCACAGGAGAATGATAAAGATAGCATTCAGGGGAGCTGATGTGGGTGCATGTGGGTGTGGGGGAGGGAGATGGGAAAGGGAAGGACCAGACTCAGCTAGACAAGAGTAATGTTGGGCAGTGGATTTATGGGTCCTCACTTTATTATGCTTCATAACTTACATATACATTAGATATCATATATACATACTACTTATATTCTATGTAACATATATTACATTATAAGAGGACACTTTAAAAAATGAAAGCCTGTCACCAATACCCAACAATTGCACTGGGTTCTCGTCTCAAGATAACCGGGTCCCTGCTCTGGCCGCCTGTCCACACTCAGCCTATTCTTGTCTCCCCCTGCCCCCGCCGCACTGGTGCCTTAGCTCTTCCTCAACTCAGGGAGCAACCCTTAGAGGGAGAATGGGTAAAGATGTCTATAGCTGTTTTACACATGAGGAAACTGAGGCTCAGAGAGGTTATTTTGCTCAGGTCATAAGGCTTGTAAGTGTGGCCCAGATTTTTCTGGCTCCCGATCCAGTGCTATCTCCCCTACACCTGGCTTTTGGAGTCCATGTGAGTTAATGCTGAATAAATATCGAAAGGCGAGGTTATCATTGGTTGAGGAGCTAGAGCTGCTCATGTTAGAGGCAGGACTTGATCTGGTCTTTGAGAGATGGGTAGGTTTTGGCTAAACAAAGAAGAGCAGGTGGGTATCCAGTGAGAGAACCACGGCTCCTCTGAAAACCAATCAATAATCGTGAGATTCCTGATGAACATAGAATGACAAAAGTCAACATTTGGGCGTATTTTTAATAACAGCTTTATTGAGATATAATTCATGTGCTATAACATTCCCCCTTTTAATTTGTATGATTTGGTGGTTTTTAGTATATTTAGTATATTCAGAGTTGTGCAACTACTAATTTCAAAACATTTTCATCATCTCATAAAGAAACTCCATAGCATTGGCAGTCACTCCCATCCCCTCTCCCCCAAGCCTCTGGCAACCACTCATCTACTTTCTGTCTCTATGGGTTTGCCTATTCCAAACATTTCATGTAAATGGATTTATACAACATGTGGCCTTTCACTTAGCATCATGTTTTAGAGGCTTATCCATGCTGTAGCAAATAGTCAATTCTTCATTTCTTCTATGGCTGAATAATATTCTGTGGTATGAATACACCACATTTTGATTATCTCTTCATCAGTTGGTGGACATTTAGGTTATTTCCCATTTGGGGCTGTCATGCTTAGGAATGGAATTGCAGGGTCACATGGCATCTCTGTTTAAAGTTTTGAGGAACTGCCGATGTTTTTTCCAAAGTGGCTGTACTATTTTACAATCCCACCAGCAACGTATTAAGTTCTCCAATTTCTCCGTATCCTCAACATTTGCTATCGTCTGTCTTTTTGACTTTAGGCCTCTTGGTGGGTGTGAAGTGGTATCTCACTGTGGTTTGATTTGCACTTCTGCGATGACTGATGGAGTTGAGCATCTTTTCATGTGTTTCTTGGTCAGGTCTCAATTTTATTCCATTGTTGGGCATATTTTCTAAGGGATATTTTTCTCAAACTGTGGTGACTTGTGACCTGTCCTCCCCTGGAAGAGAGGTGGAGAGATGGGGAGCTCTCCCAAGCAGACTGCATTTCCTTGGTGGGTCAGGCCTCTGGGGGGTCATAATTACATCCTCCTGCAGGATTCAGAGCCATCTCCATTGTTTTGATGGCAGCTGGGAGGTAGCTGACTGAACAAAGGACCTTATCTCTTTACTACCTCTCAAGGTTATTATAAATATCAAATAAGATCACTTACACAAAAGAATTCAGAAAGGTCTAAAATGCTATCCAGATGTAAGTTGTATTTACTTTTAGATTATCTTCCAGCCCCATTTAGCCTTTGCTCTTATGGTTTTCCAATGAGGCCGAGGCTGCTCCATGCTGAACCCAGATGCTCCATAGACAGCGTCACGAGGCCACCTTAGAGCTGAGGATGGGCCGTGGAGCAAAACCCCTGCCCTACCCGCCTCCCAGACACGGCGCTCGAGAGCTCTTCAGAGACAAGGCCCTGCTCAGACCTGCTCAAACCCTTCAGCTTTCCACGCTGTTTCTTTCCTGGTAGAAGAGAAGGGCTCCCCGGTCACAAGCTAAGCGCCAGGCCCTCTACCCCCTCTGCCCATCCTTCCGCTCCAGGACCCCTTCTTTGGGCCCTGAAGGGGTGCCACTCACAAAATCCCCCCCACCCATGCCTTAGCTGGTGGAGAGACTGCTCTCTCCCAGCAGACAGCAGCTCACTGTGCACACACGGCCCATTGCCCTCAAAGCCTGGAGAACATAGTTGTTAGAGCCACTCGAGAGCTGGCGAGTTCTGAGGAAGAGAGGCCAGGCTCACTGCGTCGCCCTCAGCCGGGCCCCTGCCCTCGATGGGGCTGCTCTGATCACAGGTGTCCAGTTCGCCAGCCCTGAAGTGTCCGCTGGAGTGAAGGAAAGCCAGGGGCCCAGGACTCCTCTTCCTCCCCTCCCGCCTTCCCCCACGCTGTTGAACAACAGCACTGACGATGCCCTGCTCCCCCTCCTAGGGCTGGGGCAGCCACCCTCCTCTTCTCCCCGCCTTCCTCCCTCACCCCCCCCTTTCACACACCACCCTGGCACCATGTCACCTGGCAGCTCAGCACGGCCTCGGGCCACACAGCCTCCTGCACACACTCCAGAGGGCACAGCGAGCCCACGTGTCCCTCAGAGCCCCAGGCACCATCCTGCACACAGATACCCAGGAGCCCAGGTGATTCCCAAGGTGCCCAAGCTGTGGATGGGTTGGGTCTCCTGAGCAGCTGTCACTGACTCCTTCCCTGCTCCCTCTGCCCAGCCTGTGCTTCCTCCGTCGCCCTGCCCACACCTTTGTCGGCGTCTGCTGGGGGTAGGTCCTCCCGCCTCTGGGGACAGACACCATGATGCTGAGGAGTTAGGGGCGAGCCCTCAGCCTCCCCAGCCGCCTCAAGAGGATGCCACTCTCCTTCCTCCCCCGTGCTTGTCACTTGGAGGAACGCGTGGTGAGACAGGGAAAGACTGATGGGGAGTGTGGAGACCTGGAGTGACTTGGAGCAAGCCATTCAACCTGAGTCTTCATGTCTTCCCCTGTTGAAGGAGAGGTTGCTGTCATCTCTGCGCTCATCTTTGTAGCTAGCTCTCAAAGTCGGCAAGTCTGTGACTGTTTCTGCCTGAGCGAATGACAGCTCGTGTGAAGAAAGCAGGTGTGCCAGTGCTCCTTTGGCTTTATTACCCGCCCCCTCCTCCCAGAACAGCTCCTCTATTCTTGCCCCCGCCTTCTGACAGCCCCCCTTCCCCAGTCCGCAGGTGAGCCGGGGGCTCTGAGCACCGCCCCAGGCGCCTGCGGAAGCTAAACTCTCCCCTACCCGCGCAGGCCACACCCTCTCCCCCCAGGGCCTCGTGAAGAAGCTGGACCCGGCGACCATCCTTAACCCTATCCGGCAGCACTAGCGGCACTGCGGACAGCTCCCCCACTTTGTCACTCCCGAGTCCAGAGAGCCCTGGGGCGGCGAGGCCGGGAGATTGAGCGTCAGAGACCGCTGGGCCCCGGGTCCCTGCGCCGAGGCTGTGAGATGGAAGGGGAGGGCACGCTGGCAGGCTGGGGTGTTCCAGCAAACTGCTGGGTCCCTCAGCTTCAGAGGTGTGTGTGTGCGTGAGGGGGCTTCTTTCTAGCCTCCCTTGTGAGAACCTGACCTAAGGCCCATCCGCCACCCCCGGGCTGCATCTCGCAGGGGGCCGCCTCGGGCCGGCGCCCTTGCCTGGGGCGGGCCAAGAAGCCTCGGTCCCCGCCCCTCTCTGTTAGGCCCGCGTAGCGGCCGGGGGACTTTGGAGCCGAGGAGGAAGCGCGGCGGGGCGGGGAGGTGAGGGTGTGTCGGAAGGCGGCGGCGGCTGTCGGGTTTTATAACCCGCGGGGCGGGCGCGGCGCGGGAGAAGGGGCTGCACCGCGCACCGCGCCATGGGGGCCGCGTCGGGACGCCGGTGGCCGCGGCCGCCGCTGCTGTCGTTGCTGCTGCTGCTGCTGCTGCCACCACCGCCGCCTGTGGTCCTGGCGCTCGACCCCGCGTTGCAGCCGGGGAACTTTTCCGCCGACGAGGCCGGTGCGCAGGTCTTCGCAAAGAGCTTCAATTCGAGCGCCGAGCAGGTGCTGTTCCACAGCACGGCCGCCAGCTGGGCGCACGACACCAACATCACCGAGGAAAACGCGCGGCGCCAGGTGGGCGCGCGGGCCCGGGGCGGGGGCGGGGCCCGGGCGCCCAATCACAGGCGGGCGGACGGGCGCTGGGGGGCGGGGAGTCATCGCCCCGCGTGCGCCCCCGGCCCCTGAGCGGTGGGGACCGGGCTGGGCCAGCCGGCCTCCCCGCTAACCCCCAACCCCAACGCCGTCCCAGCAAGACAGGCGGTCGGTTTCCTAGCACGGTGCTGGGCACATGCCCAGTAAGGAACCGAATGGATGAGGCTGGCCCCTCTGACCCCGAGTCCCCCCAGGTGGCAGCGCCTGGGGTTGACGACGGGCTGGGCCAGCGGCAGTCTTCGCTGAGGGTGCCCGCTCTGCTCTGGGTTCTCATCCTCTCCGACTGCAACGTACCCCTCTCTCACTGTGCCTGTCATCGCTCACCACAGTTCACACTCTTCCCCCGCCTCTCCTGGCCCCAGTTTCTGCTCCACCGCCTCCCAGAGGCAGACTCCCCCAGTTCTTCACCCCGAGGGCCCAGGAGGAGGGAGCCGTGCTCCCACAAGCCCCAGTCTCCTGAAGCCCTTGGCCTTCCTCCCCTCCCCCGCGCCACGGCTTCCCCTATTTACCCTCTCGTGCCCTCCTGGTACCCACAGGAGGAGGCAGCCCTAATCAGCCAGGAGTTTTCAGAGGTCTGGGGCCAGAAGGCCAAGGCTCTGTTCGACCCAATCTGGCAGCACTTCACCGACCCCACGCTGCGACGCATCATCAGTGCCGTGCGCACCCTGGGCCCTGCCAACCTGCCCCTGGAGGAGCGGCAGCAGGTGGGCCTGGTGGAGCGGTGGATGCAGAAGTGGCCTGGGTGCCCCCATTGCCCCGGAGGGGTGGGGCCTGGCAGGGAGGGACCCTGGGATCTCTACCGGCCCCGACTGTAGGGGAAGCCCCGCAAACACAGAACGGATTCCTGAAGTACTGATCTTCCTTGGAGCTGGAGTGAGAGAAGTTCATTTCTATCAAAGCAAGTATTATGGAGCAGAAAGCAAAATTCAAATAAAGAGAAAAGGATGAAACAGGGGTTTTCAAACTTTCTCCAGAGGTGGTTTGGTTTATGGGCTTCCTCAGAAAGATTGGGAAGGGCTGAGAAGGCATCAAGGTCAGAGAATGAGAGGGATTTGCCCTCGCTCAAGGTGGTGGCTGGGCTCAGAATTGAACCCTGATCCCTAATTCTCAGGACACTAGTTTCCCAGGCTGCTCCACTGGAAGGGGAATCCGTGCATTCATGCTCAGCTGTGCTCTGGGTGCCACAGCGTGGCCTTGCCCTAGCCACGTCCCCCTCTCCAGGCATCTCCCCTTTTCCTCCCAGCGGAAAGAGTAGAGGGCGCCAGATTACCTCCAAGGGCTGTTCATCGCTAACATTTTCTCAACTCTAACTCCCCAGTACAACTCTCTGCTAAGCAACATGTCCAGGATTTACTCCACGGCCAAGGTCTGCTTCCCCAACAAGACTGCCACCTGCTGGTCCCTGGACCCAGGTACTGCCCTGTGTCTACTCTCTCTGTCTTCGGGGGCTTCCTACCCTTCCCCATTGGCCTGCTGCACTCAGGAGGATGACGTGTTTTTGCAGAGAGAGTGGGTAAACCCAAAGGCATTAACCTCCAATTGGGACTGGACTGTCAGATGCCCCCAGACCCCTGCTCCTCCAGGCAAACTGATTTCTGGAATCTCCAGCCTCCAGCCCCCGCTCCACCCCCACATGCATGTGTGCTTTTTCCTCTCTCATCACAACCGGCTTTCCTCCTGGCTGCCTGGTTTTCCCTTTCATGGGTCCTCTCATTCCCCACAAGAGTCCTCCGCAGGCCTTAGACCCCTCATGGCTTCCCTTGCAAACCTCCTCCTCTCCCCCCACAGCTCCCCCGCCCCGCCACGTACCAGGCAGCCTTGAGGTCAGCCACTCCGTCCAAGGAGCCATGAAGGGTCTGCCTATGTTTCAAGTTGTGGGTGTCCTCTTGGTGTCAGCCACCTTAGAATAATCATTTCCTGGGAACCAGGACCCTGCCTGGCTCCTTACTTTGTATAGCTCCCAGTGCCATCCTGTCCAGCTTGTAGGTTGCCCTTGACTTTGAGGGTATCATGATGCTGAGGAAGTAGGTGGAGATGGTGAGGACCGGTGTGGGAGCTCTGGTGAAGGCTACTGCTGACTTCAACGCAGAAGTCTCCAAACTGACCCTGCTCACCTGTGTCTCAGAGCTCACCAACATCCTGGCTGCGTCGCGAAGCTACGCCCTGCTACTCTATGCCTGGGAGGGCTGGCACAACGCTGTGGGCATCCCGCTGAAACCCCTGTACCAGAAGTTCACTGCCCTCAGCAACGCGGCCTACAAGCAGGATGGTGAGCATGGCCACCCTGTCCCTTTTGTGGGCGTTTCCCTCTCATCTTCTGTCTCCACTGAGCCCCGCCCCCTGAGGCAAGCAGAGCGGCTATTACAGTGACTCCATACACTGGTCCAAGGTCACACAGATAGTGGATGGTGGAATGGGCATTAGCCCCATCGCCCTCATGCTGCACTCCTGGCACTCCTCCCAGCCCTAGGGCTCAACTTTGCCTCTCCTGCTCTCTAGGATCTGTTTAGCTGGAGTTGGAGCAACCCGTAGTTAGAAGATTGTAGAGCAGCAACCCCCAAGCTCTCCCTTCCAGCTAGCAGGCAGATACACTGGCCCTGAGCCGGAAGAACGGCCAGGTGGTAGCTGGGAGGCGGAGGTGCCAGAGCCTGGGGCCTGAGCTGCACCCCAACGCCACCCTCCGGCTAGGCTTCTCAGACACGGGGGCCTACTGGCGCTCCTGGTACGACTCCCCCACCTTCACGGAGGATCTGGAGCACCTGTACCATCAGTTAGAGCCCCTGTACCTGAACCTCCACGCCTACGTCCGCCGCGCGCTGCACCGCCGATACGGGGACAGATTCATCAACCTCAGGGGACCCATCCCTGCTCACCTGCTGGGTAAGGACCTGGCCTTGCCACCACACATGTCCAGGGTCCTCCTCATCGTGTGTCACATTTCAGAGCCCCGCACTGCTCGATCCCCTGCACATGAGCCCATAAAGCAGGTGACCCTTCTCATGGTCACTACTGTTCCTACTTTTCACACGGGGACACTGAGGCTTAGGGTGCGTGAGTGACTTGGCAGAGGGCAGAAAACTATTAAAAGGCAGAGCCAGGAGTCACACTGGAGGCTTTAGCTCCAGGTCCAGTGGAGGAGGAGAAATAAGCCTAGTTTATGCCCCAGGAAGCCAGCCCTGTGGCCCTGCGTCAGGGTTGGGAGGCAGGGACCCTGGCACCATCAGAAAGGACCCAGCAGCATCACCTGGGCTCACACTTGGCCTCTGCCAGCCCCAGGGAACGTGGAGCACTCGGGGGTGTGGGTGGGACTGATGTGTGAGCCAGCTGAGAGGGCAGTGGCCCTGCAGCACCCTGGGTCCAGACACCAGGCGCCCAGGGTGCCGTTCAGTGACACACATGGGGAAGCAGGCACTGGCTGGACTGGGAGCCAAGCTGTCTGGCTCCCCTCCTCTGTCTAGGGGACATGTGGGCCCAGAGCTGGGACAAAATCTACGACATGGTGGTGCCTTTCTCTGACAAGCCCAATCTTGACGTTACCAGTACTATGGTGCAGAAGGTAAGCTCGGAGTCAGGCCAGGTGGGGGCCACAGGAGTGAACCAGACATGAGGAGAGGGACGGGAAGGGACCTCAGTCCCTCCCTTTCTACAGAGCAGCAGCCTGGAGTGTGTGTCCACGCCATGAGCTGGGGTCTGTGTCCTCGTCCTCGCTGAGCTGCCAATCCCTCCTCCGGGGCCCCTCGGGAGTGGGGGCTGTGAGCATCGGTCCATCCACTCTAGCCAGCAGGGGCCGGACATCTGGGAAGGGAGGCCCCAGAGCAGAGGTGCTTTTCATGAGCAGGGAGCTGAGCTGGGTGGGGGACCACAGACGTGCCCCTGGGGCAGCCATGGCGGGCTCCAGCGGCTGGCCCCTGACCCGTGCGAACACCCCTACCAGGGATGGAACGCTACACACATGTTCCGGGTGGCAGAGGAGTTCTTCACCTCCCTAGGGCTCTTGCCCATGCCTCCTGAGTTCTGGGCAGAGTCCATGCTGGAGAAACCAAGCGACGGGCGTGAGGTGGTGTGCCACGCCTCCGCCTGGGATTTCTACAACAGGAAAGACTTCAGGTCTCGATTCGGGAGGAGGGTTCTGGGGCTCCCACAGGGCAGGCAGCCTGGGCACGGAGAAGCCAGTTCCCAGGCCCGCCTCTAACCCAGCCCCAGCACTGGCTGGGGGCGGGGTCCCTTCCCTGGGCAGCTTTGACAGGCAGTCAGCTCTGTACCTTGGAACGGAGGGAAAAGGCCAGAGTGTGGGCTGGGGCAGGGGAAAGTGTTTGCCTGTTTCCGCCCGCTCCTTCGAGCCCCGGGGCAGTG